GAAAGGTGGAGAAAAAGATCAAGTATTTAGTAGCAAAAAAAAAAAACATTACCTGCGATGTATTCCTTAATACAATCTGGTAGGAATGGGACGATCTTGATGACACCATGTTACTTCAGTGCATCGAGAGCATGCTAAACCAGGTTAAAGCATATATCAATGCTGAAGAAGAACATACCAAATATTAATTAATCATATAAAAGTTGTCATTAGTATTGTTCTTATAAATAATAAAACAAAAAATATACATTAAAATAAAGTTTGTATATACCGTCGAAATATGTTTCTGCCATTCTTTTTGTCAGGGACTGTATTAGAAATAAATTTGTTAACAATGCAAAAAGAGATCTAGAAATGTATTTAGATTCTGCTAAAACTTCTAATTCAACAATAAACACCATGGTAACATTAGGTCTGACAGTAACATCTCGTTCAATTTCTTACTATAAGAATGCCATCTCTTAAAAAATATCTGAAAACTGTGAAATCAAATCTTGCGGATAGTATAAATAATATAATCATTTTAAATATTGATGATTATCATAGTATTAAGAATAAACCAGCAATATCAAAACAAGATATTCATAATCCTGCATTGGTTGATGCTTTATTAATCAAAATTGTGATTAAAAAATATTTTATATTAACATATTCACTTTCTCATAACTGACGTTGAGAAATTCATTTTGTGGATGATAAAACAAAGCTCGAAGAATTAACAGTCTATAGCTATAATGTTCATTTAAAAGAAAAAAGGAATATAAGATCAATAAAAGATACTGTCCTTATAGACCTTATGAAGAATAATCTTCATTTAATAGAAGCTTATATTAATGCTATTAATATTATTACTTCTGTTTTAACAATAAATAGATATATCAAAGAAGGTAATATCATTTCAATCATTGTTAATTGGTCTAGTCAAATATTCTTAAGAACTGCTATATTATGGTATCTTGTTTATGGTAACTTTTCTAAAATTACTGATAAAATTTTATCATTCCTTCTAATAATAGATTCTTTACATATCTCACTGAATAGTTATGAGTTAATATTTCTCTAATATCAACTATTTTTCTTAGCACTAAATATATATTTAGTGAAAAAAAATATTTGCTTAAAAGTTAAAATTATGGTATATAAATTTACTATTGAAACCTTTGCATAATGTATAATAATAAATTGCAATAATAGTTGAAGTAAAATTCAGTTATGTATGTAAGAATACAGAATATATGACACTTAAGGACTTGTTAGATAACATAATTCTACTTATTCTTGATATTTATACTTTATTTTTTCGTGCTGGAGATTTTAATTCTTATATTGAATCTTGTTTTCGAGTTTGATCTATATTTTTTAGGTTCAATTATAAAATTATACTAAAGCTTCTTTGATATTTCTTTTAGACATTTTCTACTAGCAATCAAAAAATCATTTAATTCTAAAGACGATGAATGCTAAATTTCTAAAATTCTCTGATATACCTGTGGAAATCTTTCATGGTATTTTATAATACAATACAAAGAAGCATATCACAGCAGATCAAATAATAAAAGAAGCATAATATATTAATTATTTACAATTTAATTATGATGGCTTTAAAGAAAATTTTGTTCATACTTCAACTTGAACGGTATATCAGTATTCTTCTCAGAATATTGTAACTTTAACACAAAAAACTGCATGCTTTCTTTTAGATTGTTTTTCAGATATTTATATTCATATTTATCATAAAAAGATTCAATTTTTAATTCCATCACAGGTTTCTATAATACACCTATCGAAAAAGAGTAAGAAAGCTAATTCTGAAAACAGTTTTCCTATTTCTACAATGAAGATGAAAGAAGCATGGCTTTATCATTTACTTTTAAAATATAGTTTTCTTATAAATCTAGTTTATCTGGTTGTGATACTTTTAATTATTCTATTACTAATGTTATCATCACTGTAAAAACAAGACAAGTATTACCATGTGATCATGTGTATCATAACAAATACTTCAGTCAGGACAGATTCAAGTGCTTGCATTGTTTAGATTATGTTAAGGATGATGTTGACAAGCATGTTCAATTACTTTTGGTAGCCTATGTTTACTTAAATCAAAAAAATAATGTTGAAAACGAAAAGCTTGATGTTATTTCTGAAGAAGATAATGATACTAAAGAATCTGCCGATAGCATTTTAGCTCCTTAGAATAATACAATATCGTAATTTCTTCTATTATAGTTATATAAATATTATTGCAATTAGAAGGAAGTATAGAATCGTGTTTTTTTATTTTATAATTTTGATCATTATAGGTAAAATAAAAGAGCTTTTCTTAAAATCAAATTACTAAAATTTTCAGTTTATAATATAATGTAAAATAAATTCTATTTAAATTTTATGTATTTTCTTTTATTTAATATAATTATAATATAAACATATCATTCTTAAAGAATATTAGGCAAATAACCTTAAATAGACCTTAAAATGTTCTCTTAATTAGCATATAATCTATTATATAAAAAGTGTATCATGTGATTTCATAAAATCAACCAATCAAATTTACAAGATTAATTTACAAATATGTAAATGATCTACACAAAATTAGCCAATCAGACGAACTTCTTCCTATGACAATTGCACCAGCCAGAAAAATTTTAATGAACCGAGGAGCCAATCAAAAATTTCTTTTTTTTTTTGTAGTTTTTCATTTCTAATTTCTTGTCGCGAACAAATCATGGCATATAAAAAAGGGCTTTTTTTTTACACTTTTGCAATAATATTTTCCAATGGAAAACCAATACCTAATACAGTCAACCCTCTCTAAATGCACCCCCTTGGGACCATAGTGAAAATTTTAAAAAATGTGCATTTAAAGAGGGTGTGCATTTAAAGAGAAAATTTCTATATGAATTCTATATGCTTGGGACTGAACGAGAGCGTGCATTTAGAGAGAAAATATATAGTGTGTGCATTTAGAGAGGGCGCATTTAGAGAGGGTTGACTGTACTTCAAAAAAATAGGTTGACTTTACTTTCTAGACCTTCTCAAGGACCTTCCTTCTCAAAACTCCACAACAAAGACAACCTTTACATTCCGATTTTATAAAAATGCATCAAAATTTGCATCAACCAATTTTGAATACCCCTATATATGATCTTTGTATTCCTTCCCTTTTTTCGCATTCATTATTTTTTTTTTTAAAAAAAAATTTATAATTCTTTTTATTTTATTTCTCCGAAATTTTATTTTTTATCTTCTTTATTCACAGTTTTAATTAGCTTTCATTAGCGTTAGCGTTAATTGATTTAATAAAAACAGAATTTCAGAGCTCAATAATCGCAAAAGGAAAACATTGGTGAGCGACAGAGACACACACGTGACCGAAAATTTTCACATTGCGTAGACTTATGTTGTCCTTTCAGGACAAATAAAAAAAAATCATATCTCGCGTCCTCTTCCCAAAAATAGCAAGTTACATATATTTTATTTTATTTTTAAAATAAAAATATATTTAAAAACAAGACGCGGATCGTTTTTAGTTACTCGGACAAAGTAAATCATTTGAATGCAAGTAACTTTCAATTTTTAAAAAATATATCTGTATTCATTTATAAAAGTGAACATTTTTGAACATAATTATAAATCATAAAATCATTTCACAATATATATAACATCTACTTCAAAAAACGTATGGTATAAATCTTTTTCGTTGACGAAAGTAATTATCCCATTCCTTTCCAAAATGATTTTTCATCAACTTTTCTTCATGAATGAGTCGTTTGTAAACCAAAACGTTTAAACCAATTACTTCAAAAGCTTTAAACCACCAACTTGATAAAAAGTTAAACATCTTGAACGGGGAGTATAAAGGAATATAACGAGTTAATTGAAAATGCAAGTGAAATAAAAAGACCCACTGCAAGATGACACCAGTATACTGTTTGAAATTTAGCGATTAGCATTATATTATTGAGAACAAAAGATTTCATATAAAAGAACAAAAATACTAACCGAAGGATGAACCAATGAAGAATACGGTCCTGTAGTGATTAATTTTTGTTCTTTTTTTATTGTGACGTCAGGATTGAAATATTCCTTTAAAGTATTATAGCTCTGTAATATTAGGAAGCTTCCAACAATGTTACAGATATGACTGAAAATTTCCAAACGGTTCCATTCAGAAAATTTATGATAATCATCAGGTAAGAGAGGGATCAAACCAGCTTCTTGTTGATACATAACGTATAGATAAAGCAACGTTTGAATTACGATCACAATATTTTTAATATTGTCAAAAACAAAAATTTCTTTTAAACTTTTTCTCGACAAAATTTTTTGAATGGGATTGGATCTTGGAAGTGTTATGTTAAGTAAAGTTTGAAAGATGATCATAAGGATTTTGCCATACATTTTTGAAAAAGATTTTGTGGGAATTCTAATGATACAGGGCTAAACGACGGAGAAAAATTCAAATTTATATCCCTTTCAACCTTTTCGACCAAAATCATGCGCGTGTTAAAATGATGAAATATTTATGACGATCATCATAATTGACTGAAATTATCGAATTGTTATTTACTCTCGAGATTTTTTTTTCATTATCATTATATTTTAAAGAAACGTTGAAGGATATTTTTTTTTCTCACAAATCTGGTTTAGTCCTTTTTTGTTAAAGTGTAAAAGCGCCGTGCTACGTATTTTGTTGTTTACGGATTTAATCTAGTGGACGCCGTTCCTTATCTAATAAAATAGCATTATTCTGACATATATATATATGATATAAATTGGACATCACAATTTTTTGGAGAACTTTTTATTGCTTGTCATGTGATAAAATTAAGAAATGATTGAAATTTGTACAATTTACAAATATCTGTATTATATCACGATTTCATAAGCACCCTAATAAAGATATAATCTGATTAAAGATTAAAAAGATCAAGAAAAAAAATATTCTCTATAACCCAGAAACTCGTCAAAAACGCTTTAACACTCCCTCCTCCTCGTATTTTTCAAATACATCAATTACATCGCAATGAATTCAACCAACATATCAAATATTAACGATATATGGGAATTTTTGAAATTGTTTGAAAGCCTTTTCTCACGACAATCATTCGAAGTCGCAGACATTTTCTTTAAATAAATTTTTAAATTCCGTAGCAAGTTCAGAATTAACCTCTAAGGATTTGATGTTCGGGCAATGCTCGTAAACCGCACGCAATGTACTCTCCAGAAAGTTCAAGATGAAAAGGTTAAAAAAAGTAAAATCTCAGATTTCTTTCGCCAACTTTTAATGAAATTTGATGTATTATAAGAATTTTAAGTTTAGAAAATGATGATGATTCTAATTGTAGTCACCAGATTATTTAAAATTTGTAAATTATTTAAAAGATGAAAGGATATTTAAGAAAAAATTCCAGGAATTTATTCGTAGTTCAAAACTTGTAATTACATGAAAAACAAATTCGATTCATCAAACACGAACCATTGTTTAATCTATCTAAACCCGAATTATGATAATTTCCAGTCCAATGACACCCGAGGTACATCTTTTCTAATGTCTTACAGGTATGTGCTAATACATCAAAAAATTCTGGTTCTAATCACAATATAAAGACGTAAGTCCTTCTAAGAGAAAACGTTGTATGAAAAAATCGATGTTGTGCACGATCCAAATTCATAATGTTTAAAGATTTAACAGCGGAACATTTACTAGCAATCATTTTATTAATTTCTTGTTTTGTCCATGTCCTTCATTGTATCTGGAAGAAATAAGTCCAATTCTGTTCATGCCGGCTTAGAAATAAATCGATTCCTTGATTCTTGAGAAGAAATTGTGATTCTCTTGGTAAAATGAAATAATAAGACCAAATAGTAACTTATAATCTTTAATGAATTCCCATGGATTACTCCAAAGGAACGGTACAGCAGTTTCGCATCAAAGTTATTTACAGATAAACATGAATGTAGCGGTTTCCACCTCAAATTTTGACTTTGCAAGATGATAGTTTTTCGAGGAACGTCAAAAAAAAAAAATTAGAAATAACATATGAAATGTAACAGTTGCACAATGACCACAATGAATTTTAAACAATTTGTGTTACGTTAAATTAAGATCATCGTTTTTTTTTTTAAATTACAGATGTTACACGTAACGTATGATGTATGTATGTATTATATAGAAATTACTTTCCCTTTTCTTTTTATCTTTGCATGCAAAGTTTTTGGAATTCAAATTTCATTAAAATTTTTCTATTATTATTTTGTGCTTCACCAATACCCTTTCATACTTACTAATTGGTTGAGCTTTATTTTAGATTCACCGATATACTTTCCTTTAGAAATGAAGAAGTCACATTATTAGAGTGAAATCTATTAGACCTATTCGAGAAATTAAATTTAAACTTTAGTGTGGATTATAACAAGTATGCGAATCAACTTTATTTTACCATGTAATGGATCAATGTGCGATGAAAACGCAGACAGGGTTGAGAAGAATAACGATTGCTCATGAATTTTCCTTTCTCCTCTGACATACAAACTAGGCTTTTTTACTTCTCGTGCGCGTTATGCTTTACGTTGTTCTTTCCTCAAGCCCGTCTTCTTTAAGATGTCACTTGTTGCTTTTGTTCCCTTTTCATGGCATTACTCTCACCCTATTTTGGTGTTTAGTTGTCAAGTAATAGAGATGGTAATTGGTAATTCCAGATTTTTTTTTTTTTTTTTAATGAAATTTTATTGATCGTCGTATTTTATTTCACTAAATGAATTTCTTCCATCTAAATTATGCCTTGATCCTTAACTATATTGATAGTTTATTTATTTTTTTTTTTTGTAATTCGCTTTCTGCATACAAATTGCTTTGATTCTTGAAATGAACAGTACAACAAAAATTTTCTTTCTTTTACACAGTATCAACGACATCAAAGACTAAAATTATGATATAATCCAAAAACTACTTGCATGGTCCAAAATTTAGAATTTTTCTAATTGAAAATATTCTTTATCGCTTTGTACACGAATTAATATAGATTATCAATTGTTATTTGTCACGCCGTCTGATGTCTCACTGTAAAGCACGTGATAAATTGCGTAAGGTTGAACAACAGAGTTTATTTAGTAATTCACCTTTCAAATGAGAAAATTTCCCCCGCTTTTTGTTTCGTAAAACAAAAAATGGCTTCATTTTTATTTACAGAATGTTTAGAGAAGATTTTTTTAAATTTTCTTGATATCCCAGCTGGAGATACAAGTACCAATTCGTCAACAATAAACACAAGCACCAATACGTCAACTGGAGACTTGTATGCCTGCACATTAGTATCTAGGTATTGGTGCAAAGTGTCAACACCATTATTGTATTCTTATCCATTTCATCATTTTCGCAATTTGACCTATCGAGATGATGATGTGAAATCGAAGATTCTAGATCACTATTTTAAACTAATTCATACATTATTAAAATGTATTCCTCATGATATTGAACAAACCTTAAATGAACCGTATTTAGCCATGCATTTTCATTTATCGACCTTTAATTATATTTCTTTCATCCGTGGGTTGATTTTTCATGATGTGATATTTCACTGTCACCGCCAGGATTGGTTTACTTATCTTGGTCTAGAGACTACGTCAGTAGATTTTTTCTCGCTTATGGTACTTTTTACAAAATTTTT